CATAAGAGTAACAGCCATTATTCATTGTATGTAACAAACTTCTGATGTCCTACTGAATCTGAAACTCCTGTGGGACATCCAGGTGGAGACCCCAGAAGGAAATACAGTGTTGGTGGTCAGGAGAAAGGCCGGAACTGGAACAAAGGACCTGGCAGATAGGCCGAGGGGTGTGATGGCCAAAGCCACAGGCACAGGAGAGTCCCTAGGGAGAAAAAGAATCCTGTGGAAGGCTTACATGTATAATGATGAGAGAAATGGGAACCAGGAGTGGCTGGAGGAGTCAGAGTTATGAAGCAACCAAGAGGCGAGGCTTTTACAAAGGAGGGGTAGTCATCAGTTCTACAAGCTTAGGTGTGAAATATAAGCAAATAAAGCCATTTTTTTAAAACCCTAGACTGGCCGAGGTGGATGGATCATGAGGTCCAGAGATCGATACCATCCTGGTCAACATAGTGAAACCCAGTCTCTACTAAAAATACAAAAATTAATATGGTATGTTGCTGGGGACCCTTAATGAAATTTCTTTCCTACAAAATACCAGAGGCTGGGTACGTTGGCTCATGCTTATAATCCCAGCACTTTGGGAGGCTGAGGCAGGCAGATCGAGAGGTCAAGAGATTAATACCATCCTGGCCAACATGATGAAACCCCCTCTCTATTAAAAATACAAACATTAGCTGAGTGTGGTGGCACCTGCCTGTAGTTCCAGCTACTCAGGAGGCTGAGGCAGGAGAATTGCTTGAACTCAGGAGGTAGAGGTTGCAGTGAGCCGAGATTGTGCCAACAGAGCAAGACTCTGTCTAAAAAAAGAAATAAATAAAAAATACCAGGACAGCAGGGATGGTCTATAAGTCATTTAACTTCTTGATAGATATCTAGTTTGTTTGCCAGCTTTTCACTTTCATGAACAAGCCTGGGATGTGCAGTTTTGAGTGTTTGTCTAATTATTGCCTTTAGGTAGCCTCTGGAATATTATGCTAGATACAGTAAGAATGGTGCTGGGTGCAGGGGGTCAGCGGAGGGGGAGGTGTGGAAGCAGCTGAATTTGGTGAAGGTGACATTTAAAAGGGAATAAAAAAGGCAAGAGAGTAAGGCTAGGGAAAAACCAGAACAAAGAAAAGGGCAAGGAGAGACTAGGGCCTGTTTGTTTGTTTTTATGAGCTGGATCTTGGCTAGCTCAATGCAGCCTCTGCCTCCCAGGTTCAAGTGATGCTCCTGCCTCACCCTCCCAAGTAGCTGGGATTACAGGCGTGTGCCACCATGCCCAGCTAATTTTTGTATTTTTAGTAGAGACAGGGTTTCACTATATTGACCAGGATGGTCTCGATCTCTGGACCTCATGATCTGTCCACCTCGGCCAGGCTAGGGTTTTCTAAAAACGGCTTTAGTTGCTTATATTTCACACCTAAGCTTGTAGAACTGATGACTACCCCTCCTTTATAAAACCCTCCCCTCTTGGTTGCTTCATAACTCTGACCACTCCAGCCTCTCCTGGTTCCCATTTCTCTCATCATTATACGTGTAAGCCTTCCACAAGATTCTTCTTCTCCCTGGGGACTCTCCTGTGCCTGTGGCTTTGGCCATCACACCCCTCGGCCTATCTGCCAGGTCCTTTGTTCCAGTTCCAGCCTTTCTCCTGACCACCAACACTGTATTTCCTTCTGGGCTCTCCACCTGGATGTCCCACAGGAGTTTCAGACTCAATAGGACATCAGAAGTTTGTTACATACAATGAATAATGGCTGTCACTCTTAATGCAGAATATGGGAAACAGTAGGCGGGAAGGCTATGGAGAAAACAAGAGTGAATAAGCCACAGTTTCTGCCCTCACTGGGCACATAATTCTGGGCAGGAGGCAGCAAAAATGCAAAGTGAGGTCAGCCACTGCAGGTTGGAGGCCTGTCAAAGGGACTGTAGATACTGACAAAGAGGAGAGATCACATGGATAGGCAAATTAGGAGGAGCTCTGCAATGTGGTGGTAAATGCCGTCTTCAAGGCAGCCTGAAAGATAGGACTTGAATGGGCAGAGAGGAGTCGCCAGAGAGGGAGGAGGACATTCCAATGGGAACTAAGTGCTGAAAAGAGCATAGCACTGCCCTGTTAAGGAAATTAAGACCTCAGGGTCTTACACATCCATCCTGCTTACCTGTTTCTCTCTAGTAATTACCTTATACACAAGGCTAAACTGGGAACTGCCCATACGCAGGAAAACCGATTAAATTCAATAAGCAATGAGGAGCCCTTGAAGGACTTGAGCAACTGAGTAACACGGCAAGCCTCTGGCAGCAAGTGGGGGATAGTCTCTTGAGAATGAGGGACAAGTTGGGATCCAAGAGATCTCCAGCAGGCCACTGGAGATTTAAATCTGGAGTTCAGAAGAATTGGGGTGCTACAGCCCCACATCTGAGAATCGTCCTCCCAGAGGAGGGCTGATCAGCACCAAGAGGGTGTGGAGAGACAGGATCCCCAGCAGCAGAACCTTTCCAAGCAGCCATACTCAGGTGGCCTGGAATGGAGCTGAAGCTGGTGAGGGGCCAGAGAAGGTATTACAGAGGGGGGAGGCCAGCAGGAAGCAGGGAAATGGAAGCCAAGTAGGGGCGCTAAAGAGAGAGCCCTCAAGTGTTGTGCACATAAGAAGGGACCTATGGACTTAGAGATGAGGCGTCTATGCCCAAGGAGGAGGAGGACTAACGACAGACTCATGGAATTGGAGATCTGGCATCTACACCAAGAACGAGCAGGACCAAGGAGAGACTCATGGACTTGAGATGAGTTTTCCACGCCCAAAAAGGAGGAGGACCAAGGAGAGACCCATGGACTCAGAGATGAGGGATCTTCTCCGCCACCACGTATTAGTCCTCTCCGCCAGGTCCTCCTGTTCCCCTCAGACGATCCAGCCTGTTCTCAGCATGCCCTAGAGTCCTGCATCCCCAGGCCTCTGCTGACTTCACCTCTTACACTCCCATCAGTCCATTCTCACTCATTCTGTACCTTTCTCTTAGTCATGCCTCTTCTGGACAATTTCACTGTGACACAAAACTGACCATCTTCTGGCCTCCTCCATATTTCTTCTTCACTCGGTCCTGTGCACTTCAGCCAGATGACTTTCCCTAGAACCAAGCTCCAATCATGGTGCCCCCTGCTCAAAGACTCTTGGTGACTTCCCATTACCTACTCCTTAAAGGTCAAACTTCTTACCATGGCAGTCAAAGCTCTTACTGGAAGCTTACTTACCATGAGGGTGTCTCCTACAAAGCCCTTATGGAGGCAAACCAAGCTCTTTTCTCCCAGATTGCACTGATTTCTCCTAGGCCACTCTGTATTCAGACTTAGGCCAGAGGCAATGCTTTGTTCTCTTGCGAGCAATAATAACCCACTTCCACATCTGCCCAGTGGCTGTGTCTCTCCCTTGTACAAGACTAGCTCATTACTTCCTCTCCGAGATGTTTATCACATTAAGCCCCCTCCTTGGGTAGGAGCAGAGGTCTATCCCAGAAGAGATAGCTGGTAACTAGAACGCATGCAATGCAGTAAGGAGACCTTGGCCCCAGAGGAAAGGATATACCTTCATTTCATGGCCTTTTTAGGGCTGGAATTTGAATGTGGTCGTGCTAGAGAGGGATCCTGAGTGATAGAAAGATGGTTTCTGCCATGAGGGGGCAGGTGGCAAACTAAGGGAGGTGCCACAGAAGGGCCCCTACCCCAGGTTGAAACTGGGTTCTACTTTTCATATCTTCCTCTCAGCAAATCTTCACTGAACACCTAGCACACACCAAGCACTGTGCTATGTGCCAGCAGTGGTGTGCTGGTAAACTAGCTCTCGGAAAAGCAAAGGCCCTGATTAGTAGCGCCTGACAATTTCTGTGGCGTAAATATCCCCACTGTTGTCAATTTCAAGCTACCAACATGGTAATACGGAATGTGAAGCTGGGAAGGAATGTGCACTGTACACCCTAGAGAGCTGGTGCAGGGCCAGCCCCAGCACACCACTGGCTGGGGAGAAAGCAGCAAGTAAGACCAAGGCCACTGTCACATGGACCTTGTTCTATTGGGCAGAAAGCTTCCATAGCTGACTTGGCTACCATCTTGGTGGGTCAAGATCTGATTGCCTGAAGGAGTTTGCATCTCCCCTCATACTCTTGTACTAGGCTGTAAGACCTTAGAGGACAGGGACCACATCTTCTGCTTCACTCTGTCCCCAGCACCTGCATGAAGCTCTGCTCATGGGAGGCACAGCCAATGTGTGGGCTGATTGATTCTGTGGTGGAGGCAGAGGGGGGATATCTGTGGAATGAATCTGTATCTACTGGAAGCAGACCATCTGTGCCACCCCCCTCCCCAGAAGAGGAGAAGCAACCACAAGCTGGAGCAGTACAGCATTGGCCATAGGTAAATTACAAAACAGGGAGTTTATCTCAGTGCTTCCCACCTGCTAAACATCACCCCTTCCCACCTCTGGGCACCCCGGCATTGACCGGTTCTCAGGCCTGACCTCAATTCTGACCCTGCACCCCTGCAGGCCAAGGGCTTCAGTGGTCATAATGAAGGTGGAAACTCAGACTTTCAAAATTGCCGGAAGAGTCAGAGTCATCCTGGCTTCTGTAAGGGGCCCAAACCTTCCCTCCTCCCACCTCCAAAAGAGGTTACATTCTCTGGCTTAACCTGAGGTGTGCGACAGAGAAAACAGGCATGAGCACAGTAGGTTACAAAGAACCACCTGCAGCCTGCCACACCCAGGCTCCCACAGTGAGAAAGGAAAGTGCCACCCTCCACAGCATCGTGAGCCCAGCTGGTGGGAAAGCTCCCACTCCTCCCCAGCAGGACAACACAAAACCACAATGGATCTGGGGAAAGGAGGTTGAAGGGGCAGCTCCTATCAAAGCTGCAGACCCTGGTCCAGGGTGCTCAAGAGGAAAAGGAATAGGCACCCTGAAGGACGAACCCTCTTGCCATCCACTCCCCTCTCATTTCAGGATTCCCACCACAGAGCCCACAACACTTCAAAGATCAATACTTTATTTTCTCTAGCTCCAGTGTTGCAACTGTAGCAGCATATCAGAAACATCCCACACAAACACCCACACAATTCTCCCCTTCTTCAAAGAGCTAGCAACAATTGAGAGGCAGAAACAATAGTCACTACAGGCATCTGATGAATTTAACAAATAACACTTGCTCACCCTTAAAACATACATTGTGCGTCTTGCAGGTAGGAAGCAGCAGTACATTTGCAGTTCGAAGATACAATCATCCTTAAATAAAGTTAAATAAAACCTTATTGGCATAACAACTGGTTGGAGATGCAGCTTTTTGGGGGCTTTGGAGGATGATGCTTGGAATAAGACATGAGCATTTTAAAAGAAAAGAGCAATAAATGAAAAAACAAACTACACATAGAATGTAACCCAGTAAATAGATTCAACGCAAAGTTAAGAAAACATAGTCATGGGTGGAAGATATCACCCATCTGGAAAAAATCAGTTTATTGTTCTAAAATAAAGCTTTCAGCTACAAGTGGTTGAACCTGAAATTATGGTTTGGGCATCAGAGCTACTCACACACACACCATGTAAAAGTACAAGTGCTGGACTCAGGGGGCACTGACTGGCTGCAGATGTCACTCCAAGACACCAAGGACCAAGTACATGTTGCGATTATATTGGCTTGGTCAGGGAGGGGGTGGATAGCAACGTGGGGTGACCTCTTCCTATTTAGCACTTTGCAATGTTGAGTCACAGTCAAAAACTTGATTGCAGTCTGCATGGGGCTACAATACCAACTAGGGAGATAAAGGCCAGAGGGGAAAGTTAATTTCTACAAAATTAAACACTTGTATCTGCTTAGTGCTTCACAACGATCAAGGCTTTCTTCAACCTCCTGATGACCAGGTGTGGCAAGCAGGCTGACCAGGTGACTCCCCCAGCTGGCCCAACCCTCATCACACAGGGAGGGGCCTGCAATCCGGGCCCACAGAGCTCCAAGATCCGGTTTTCACCTTTCCTTCTTTTTTTGTTTTGAGACCTCAGTCTCGCTCTGTCGTCCAGGCTGGAGTACAGTGGCACGATCTCAGCTCACTGCAACCTTCACCTCCTGGGTTCAAGCAATTCTGCCTCAGCCTCCCAAGTAACTGGGATTACAGACACCCGCTACCATGACTAGCTAATTTTTGTATTTTTACTAGAGATGGGGTTTCACCATGTTGGCCAGGCTGGTCTCAAACTGCCGACCTCAAGAGATCTGCCTGCCTTGGCCTCCCGAAGTGCTGGGATTACAGGAGTGAGCCACTGTGCCTGGCCTTCATCTTCCCTTCTTGCATCCCCCTAACCAAAGGAGTTTTCCTAGAGAAATCAACAGTTTGTTTTCTAAACACCCGTGAAAGCCAAATCCCGTAGGGACTGTCTTGCTGCAGTGTGGCCCATCTCAGGTGGACTCAAAGGGGTGGTAGGATAATTTTTTACAAATTTTCCTTAAATTCACTTTGGAATTTAGAATTTGATTTCCTCCCCTCCGTTTGCAGAATTTAACACCATTTAACACAAACCCAAGGCAGGTTGAGAGCACAGATGTAAACAATTTCAGCAGCGGCGTGGACACTATGGCTTTCTGCATCCTCACGTAGGGCTGAGGCTGCAACTGGCTTTGGAGTATGGAGAGGGGGGCGGGCAGAGCAGGGAGGAGGTGTTAACCCCCAGATGGGACAAGGCAGCAGCCAAGCCCCACAGCCCAGCCGCAAGGGGCTGTTCACGGGGCACACGCGGGAGGTACCCAGTGTGGCTCTTTCCCATCCCTGATCTGAAAAAAGAAGTCAACTGACTGTTTGATGATAGAATTCCTCATCGCTATCAGAGCAAAAACTACTCCCCTGGGCACTGTGTGCATGATCCCAAGATGGAAATTCTCCATGTGTTACTTCTAGGCAGTCACGCTACTCAAAAGACCCCAGGCCTGCACCTGCTCGGTGAGGTGCAACCACACTGAGTGTGGTGGATGGCTGCAGGTCAGGACCTGGCTCGCCGAAACGCAAACACGCCTGAGCTTCCCGCCCGTTTTTAAAGATAAGCTCTGGTGAGGGCCCCAAATCGGAGCCGGTGCCGCTCGTCCCATCAGTATTCCCTTGCGCGGCGGCCCCAGAGCACCAAACGGCACCGCTAGGGAAAACGGGCTTGCATTTTCTCTGCGCGACCGTCTTACCCGCGGACACACCATTTCAGAGAGCAAGGCTGCGAGGCCTGTGTTCTCGGGTGACGCAGAGCGGACGGGGCTGCAGAATGGCTTCTGGAGAGGGGTCTCCCGACTCGGGCAAGGCGATCCAGGTCAGACCTGAGCCGCAGGGCCCTCGCAGATAGGCCTAGCTCTTGTCGCATGCCGTGAGAAGCTGTGACGTGGGAGTTAAGGGGTGGGACAGGACTGGGGACAGTCTGGAGACGTGCTTCCCTAGACCGCACAGGGAAGCGGGGGATGAGGAGAGTCCGTCAAAACACACATGGATCACGTTACCTGAAGTGCCTGAGTTAAAAGCTGAGGCAGAAACAACTCCTAGGCTGAAGGTAGGATTCATTCCAAACACCTGCCCCGCAGGTAGCCAAGTGCTACCTATGAAGGGCTTCTAAGTGCTGACCGGGGAGGCAGGATTCACCTCGCTCACAAGGGGAGGAGGCAGTCTCAACAGGTTTACGCCCAGCCGCCCTGATTCTGCTGCGCTCCACCAACCTCCAGCGGGCGAGATCCTGCCCCCCGCACGTGTGCGTGTGTATACACAGCAGGAGTAAACGGGCCAGGGCCAGGTCTAGGTCTCTGGTCCTGGCATTTTGGGGAAAGACAAAGGAAAAAAGGCACATGAAGTGGCTGATTGAATTTAAAAGGGAAAAAAAAAAGGTAGCTGCAAGTGACATATCATTATTTAAATTTTTTTAAACGTACCTTTTTTTCCCCCCATGAAAAGAGAAATTCAAAATATAAACTTAATTTTTATTATTTTACATTCAAGTGAAACTTCCATCTGGAGGGGCTAAAAACACAGCTGCAGGCCACATTCAGTGATTTATTACTTTGGTGCCTTTTTCGTTCACCTGATGGAAGAATTCAACCCTCTCATTTAAAAAAAAAAAAAAAAAAAAAACAACAGCTAGAGTCCCAGCCGTAATACTAGGTGTAGACACGCACAAGCACACACACAAATTCAAAAACTTCTACATAGAAAAATAAAGGATAAACATTATCCATCTATTTTGTACTGTGTAATGGAACTTTTATATACATAAAAAATGTTTTTACTGTTTTCAGTCACTGCAAGTTTTCTTCCCTCCTGTGAGATCTGAGGATCCACAGAGGGGGCTGCCACAGTGAAGCAGAAAAGCTACATTCTGCCGAGGGAGGAAGAGAAAAAGCAATTTCTCGCTCCCCTTCCAAAGCCTTTCTGGTCCACCACCGCCTCGGATGTCCCTGCAGACAGCCTTCCCGTGAGCAGCTGGCCCGTCCCCTCCTCCCTCTAAGGCATCGAGGAGCAGAGGACCCATAGGGAGCACCCTGCAAAAAAATGTGTGAGGAGAGGGCAAGGGGCTGGATGCAGGCAGAGAATGGCTTTAAGAAGAAAAGATTCTATGATCCCTTCCCATAGCCTGTTCCTTTAGTATGGAGCTCGATTTTCCAGCTGGTGCTTGGTGAGGAAGTATTTGAAGAACTCATAGACAGACCAAGAAATGGCGGTGGAGGGCATCTGGTAGATGACACGCGCCTGGATGCCTTTGAAGTAGCCGGCCAGGCCATTGAGCTGGTACACCGTCCGAAAGGCATTGGCCATGCCTGACAGCCGGCCGCTGATGTTGGCCAGAGAGAGGGCCACGTTCTCCTGAGTGTTGAGAAGGGTCTTACAGACGTCCAGGGGGGTCGTGGCGGCCGCAGCGAGGGCCCCGGCCAGCCCGCCTGAGATGATGTGGGACTGCGGGTTGTAGGTCCGGTGGGGGTTGACCTGCTCCTGCAGGAACTCGTAGGTGATGAAGTGGATGGACTGGAAGGGGATGTTCATGGTCAGCTGCGTGGTGTAGCTCCGGTAGAAGGCCCCCAACCCCTCGGTCCTCCACACCATCCGGATGCAGCTGAGGGCTGACCGGTGCTGCGAGTTGTACATCTGCAAGCGCTGCTTCACCACTGTGGTTGGAGTCGCAGGGCAGGCCAGACGGACAGCCAGTGGGCAGTGGGTCAGACGTGGCCCCACCCCAGGTCAGAATGAAGCCAAGCCATAAAGAGAAACAAGCCAGTTAGACATGCCGGAGACAGATGAGAGCCAGCACACACAGCCCCAGCCTGAGCCGCCGCAGACGGCCAGCTCCCGGCAGTCCTGGATTAAAATCCATTTTTATCTCCAGGACCCACTGCCAAGAAGGTGGCTACATCCTGAAGTTTCTCCTGCCCGAATCTTGCTGAAGGCAGCCCCCAAACCAGGCAGCCACTTCAGACTAGAATCACGGATCTCTTTCCTAGACCCTGGCTGGCCCTGGCAGGAACCCTCAGCACCCACCACAAAGCTGAATCCTGTCCCCTGTACCCTCTGCCCTCATCCATCCCTGGCACATCTACCGGAAGCGTGTACCCTCGAGTATTCGCAGGGGTTTGTGCCTCTAACGGTAATTCTCGCTTCTGTGACACAGTGCATTTGGAACAGACACTGGAATCATGTCTGCCCAAGTTCAATGACTTTCTAACTGGGGTTCCCAGGACAACAGGCAAATGAGACTGTGGTACCTTAGGCTCAGGGTTTTAATGGCTTCATGTATTGCCAAATAAATACACACAATGGGCTTTGCTTTACTTTTAAAGAAATAAGGACCCTAAATCAATAGCTATGACAAGGTGAAAGAGACAGCTTAAGTCTCACTTTTTTCTCTTTAAAAAAGATAAACGAAACCCTTGCTTGGTTACACAAAGTTAACTACCTGTTCACTGACCAGGTCCCTGAATGAACTCCCATAAAAAGAAGCCTAAGATATACAATATGTGAGCGAATATTTATTTGGGACATTTTTAGGTTTTTCATTGAACTACTTCCTAGAAGTGCTTCCTCCTCCTCGCCCCTGCCTAGCTAAGAACACCTCTTTCTTGCCTTCAAAACACCGTCTTGAATGCGTTCCTTACAGCACAAGCCATGAAGGCAGGTCAATTTACTTAAGAACATCACATCTCTTGAGAAAGATAATGTGTACAAAACAAAACAGAACACGAGCTCTCTTTCTCAGCTCTCTACTTTATAAATAAAAAAGGGAAAAGGTGTGTGTCCCTCCAGCATGCCTGGTGCAGTACATGATAAAGAAATCCACAGGAATGCAGAAGGTGCCTTTCTTCACCTGCCCATCGGGTCATGCTTAGCACCCAAACCATAGAGACTCCCTGCCCACCTCCCAACCCGCCACACCACAACCCTGAAGGTCAGACCAAGTCCCCTATCCATGAGGACATGGCGGGTGGCTGAAAGCAAGTTTAAAAGCTTCACCTTAAAAGACAAAAGATAGGCAAACTTATAGCATGAGACTTAAAATGTTGAAACTTTTCTCTCCATTTCTCCCTTCTGGCCAGTAACTATTTTCAGATGGGGCAAGAAGGTGAAGAGAGCTCCACAGCTCACCTAAAGCCATCGCCAGGTAGAGAATGACCCAGCTGAAGGCCTGCCCGGTGCCAGGCGCAAAAGGTCCTCACTATTCAGACCCCAGCTAGCTAAGACGCCGGGATATATAAAAAGGGAACAGACTCAGGTTTGCACAGCTGAGGCTCGCTTCGTAATACCTCCGAAATTTAAAATGACAAAAAGAAAATAATGTGGAAAGAGATGGCTAAAACAAAATGACCCAATGTCAATTTCTGAAGCACAGAGATGGACACACTGGGGTCCATCATACTATTCTCTCTACATTCACATCTGTTTGAAACATGATCCATAACCTTGCAAATTAAAGACTGAACACTAGCCCTTAAGAATAGCCTCTGATGGGTTCCCCATACATTTGTCTAGGATTGATAAGGATTAACAAGGGCTAGGGGTGTGTGTGTGTGTGTGTGTGTGTGTGTGTGTGTGTGTGTGTGTGTGGTGTGTATACATACAGGTTTTAGAGTAGTGCAAATGCAGTAGAAATCACCAGGAAACAGATTCTGGTCCCTAGCTCCAGGGATTCTGATGCAAGAGGCTCGGTGTCGAGCCTGAGAATTAGCATTTCTTTTCTGTTTTGAGGCAGAGTCTTGCTCTGTAGCGCAGGCTGAGTGCAGTGGTGCGATCACCAGTCACTGCAGCCTCGCCCTCCCAGGCTCAAGCAATTCTTCTTCCTCAGCCTCCTGAACAGCTGGGACTACAGGCATGCACCACCACACCCGGCTAATTTTTGTATTTTTTGTAGAGACGAGGGTCTCATTATGCTACTCAGGCTAGTCTTAAACTCCCAGGTTCAATAGATCCGCCTCCCTTGACCTCCCAAAGTGCTGGGATTACGGTTTTAAACCACCGCTCCGGCCAGTTAGCATTTGTTTTTCTTTTTTTTTCTTTTGAGATGGAGTCTGTCTCTGAGGTCCAGGCTGGACTACCGTGGTGTGCTCTCAGCTCACTGCAACCTCTGTCTGCCAGGTTCAAGTGAGTCTCCCGCCTCGGCCTCCCCGGTAGCCGGGATTACAGGTACACACACCACACCCAGCTAATTTTTGTATTTTTAGTAGAGACAGGGTTTCTCCATGTTGGCCGGGCTGGTCTCGAACTCCTGACCTCAAGTGATCCTCCCACCTCGGCCTCCCAAAGTATGGAGATGATGGGCGTGAGCCACTGAGCCCAGTCTCAGGATTAGCATTTGCAACGCCCCAAGGAGGTCTGATGATGCTGATCTGTAGACCATACTTTGAGCAGCTGTGTTTCTGAGCACAGGAATACCATAAAACCCAAATGTTCATGTCCCTTCTTGAGGCCTTTGATAATGTAGTAAAGAATTCAATTCTCCTATCTGCTCTGACTGGGGTCCAGGAGCCGCCCTGCCCACCTTCAGTCCTCACCACTCCCCCACCACCATTTTTTGTGCCACTCTGCACATCCCCTACTGCCCCTCCCTGGGACCATGAAACATTACCTTCTGCTGGATTCATTACCGCATCGTGGAGCAGGGTGGCCATACTCCCAGCTATCCCTGCAAAACAAACTCCAGAAAATTACCCTCTGCGACCCGGTGTTCTCAGGAAGTTCCTGGAACCTAAAATCAGACGGAACCCAGGACTTAGTTTTCTAAGAAGCGAAATGTACTGCCAGCTCCACCCAGGTGAGCACTGACTCTTAGTACCCTAAAGGGTTGGTGAAAATAGGATACAAATGGGGCTGGTTCATTTAGCACACTCACCCACACTGGAATCTTGCAAAAACCTCATTTTCTTTCTTATAGTCAACCCTGGAAAGAAGCTAAACCTGCAAGTGTTGGGTGGGTCCCAGAAACCACACGGCTTGGCTTTTCCCACTGTCTAGATGTTAATTCTCTCTCATCCTTTGCCTTTGTCTACACATTAACTCACTTTGCCCTTAACTGGGGCCCTGAAAGGAAATAATATCATATCTACAGCTAAGAAAGGGAAAAAAGAAAATCTGGTTAAAATCCAGGCTTTAAAAANAAAAAAAAAAAAAAAAAAAAGCTGGGAAAGAGAAGAGGAAATCAGGATAATCTGCATTTGGTAGATTTCCAGGGTCAGTCTGCAAAGCTACAGGACTGACCCCATCTGAGGGTCGGGTCAGGCCTGGCTTCAAGAACCAGGAACTTCAAAAGCCAGAATCAGGCCTGGAATTTTGGCTTTGAGTTTCCTCCCTTTGCGGTGACACTAACCTGTAATTAAAATGACCATGGGAAGGTGGGAGGAATGAGGAATACCAGGATGACTCTCCAGCAATGCATGTCATACCCCTCCCCCACCGCACACACACTTGTCATCGTTCCCAGCAAGATCAAAACGCCACCACAGCATACACCACACATTGCAGAAACAGCGCAGGCCAGTACTTGGCATGAAATGGATTCCGTTAAATCTCTTTCCAGGAGCGAAACCATTACATAAGGCAGTTTCAGCAAAAGAAGGACCCCAACGTCACAGACTCAGGGGTAGGTCAGGGCTTGGCTCTTCAGCAACCATCTCAATAAATGCACTAATGGCCAGTTTTTACAAAACAAAACAAATATCTGCAAACCAGCCGGGCACGCTTATGACCAAGGTTGGCTGATAGGAGGACAGATGATTTTTCAGCAGAATCAAAAGAGGGGGGAAAAGTTATTGTTGGTCTTATCTACATCTCCATTGCTGAAACAAATGAATTTTGTCAGAACAAAGGTACTTTATGCTGCTATCCATATTTCCATTCCAAACCCAAACAAAAAACAAAAGCAACCCCACAGGAGAGGAGAAAATAAGAGCTCAGCCCTGCCCAATAAAACGTGCCTTATGTAAGAGCTGCCGGCTGACTTGCACCCCCCACCCCCGCCCTCCCTCAAAACAACCAAACAAAATGATTTCAGCCCTTGCTTGCAGAGAGATGCAACTCAGACAAACAGAAGAGAATGGGGGTAAAATTCCCAAATCCCAGAAGCTTAAGGTGGGAAAGGCCTTCTGCGTGGAGCGTCCTTTGTCAGCCATAAAACTTCTTGACCTTTTAAAGCTTAGTTAGATCTTGGCGTTGTAGAGACCTGTTGTACCAGTTTTTAAATAGTCTCAAAGAAGCTGTCCAGATAACTTTTTTTTTTTTGAATCCAGCATTCAAAAGTTTTGTTTCTATTCAGGGTTTCTCCTATGTCTGATCATTAATTGTTTTTGAATGTTTGAAAACAAAACAAAACAAAAAAAAAAAAGAAAGAAAAGAAAACCCATACAACAATGAAACGAAAACACCTCTGTCACTGATTTCTCCCCAGGCTTCAGAAAGCGGTGGGGAACAGACAAAAGCATGTGTGTGCCGCGCGCGTGTGTGTGCGTGTGTCTGGGTGTGCGTTGCACACACAACTCTAGAGTTCTTTATTCGTGAGCAAGCGGGCCGAAGTCGAGGCGGCTGGGTCACAGGGAGGAACACCCTGGGGAGGGACGTGTTGAAGAAGAGAACTTTCTAACTCCAGACAAACGCTTTCAAAATACCGTTGGCTAGGTGGCTGTTTCCTTGGTGGTGGAAAACGTCATTTAAAGTCCTTTTCATGTTTTCATAGCAGGCAAAATACATGGCGTGGGCCGGCCCTGCACCCATGATCATGACATTGAGGCCCCGCAAGGGCCTCCAGAAGCCTTCGGTCCGCATGATTCTCTTGAGGGCTCCGTAGATACTCGTGTACTGGGCTCTGGGATCTGGACTCAAACTCTGCATTCGCGTCTGGGAGTGGGCGAGAAGAGAAAACAAACAAAAAAGAGATTTAATGAGGATGGTAAAGAAGGAAAATCAGATCTGGAGAAAGAGAGAGAAAAAACAATGTTCATGGTTTCACAGGATTTATCTGGGAAGGAAACATATTTGAAATCAAAATGAATTCTACATGGACATAATGAAGTCCACATGAATGTGCACATGCAGATTTCATTATGCCCCATAAAGGGAGAAAGAGAGAGAAGGAGGTGGAAGAGAAAGACCTTCCCCTGCCACTGGCAAGCTGTGTGGCCTCTGGGGAATTCCTTAACTTCTCTGGACCTTAAGACCTTCAATTAAAATAACAGGATTGTTGCAAGCAGCAAACCAAACAATGCATATGAAAACCCTTCAAAAACTCAGAGTCCTAGATAGATGTAGAATTGTCCTGCAGTTACCACTCTGGTGGTGAAGTCTTCTGTGTCCTCACTTATCTGAAACCTCCATGTTCTGGAAGCTCCTGTTAGTCCCTACACCATGAAATTTCCCCGAATCCTCCAGCCCTCAATTGCCTCATCACCTCTAAATACCTTTTTGCATTTTATTCTTATAAGTTGGCACTTAAATATAAATGGTCTTCTTCTTAATTTCTTTCTTTTTTTTTTCTGAGCCAGAGTCTCGCTCTGTCACGGAGGCTGAAGTGCAGTGGCGCAATCTAAGCCCACTGCAACCTCCACCTCCTGGGTTCAAGCAATTCTGCCTCAGCCTCCTAAGTAGCTAGGATTATAGGCAACCGCCACCAAGCCCAGCTAATTTTTGTATTTTTAGTAGAGACAGGATTTTACCATTTTGGCCAGGCTGGTCTCGAACTCCTGACCTCCTAATCTGCCCGCCTCAGCCTCCCGAAGTGCTGAGATTATAGGCGTGAGCCACTGCACCCAGCCAATTTTTCTTTCCTTTTTTTTTTTTTTTTTTTTTTTAAGTGAAAGCAATTTTGTTCAGAAAGTAAAGGGATAAAAGAATGGCTACTCCACAGACAGAGCAGCATTCTTAACTTCTTCATATGCATAATCTTGTCTCCTTGAAACAGAGACCTGGCTTTCCCTTCCTCTGTCATCCCTAGGACACCACCCAGCAGGGAGAGGCACCTGCACAGGTGTGATGGTTAATTTTATGGGTCAACCTGGCTGAGCCACGGTACCCAGATATTTGATCTAACACTAGTTTAGATGTATATATGCAGGTATTTTCTAGATGAGATTAACATTTGAATCAGTAGACTGTGAGTAAAGCAGATTAACTTCTACTGTACCATGAGTACGTACACCTCATTTCATCAGAATTTCTCTCTCAAGGAAGAAATTCTGCCTTCGGACTCAAACTATAACATCAGCTCTCCCTGGGTCTCTACCCTGCGTATTTTGTACTTGCCAGCCCCTACAATCGTGTGAGCCAATCCTCAAAATAAATCTCTCAATTTCTAGGTAGGTAGGTAGATTAGATAGATAGGTAGGTAGGTAGATGGATAGATGGACAGAGCGATAGATAGACAGATAGATAACAGGCAGAGAGATAGGTAGATAACAGATAAACAGATAGATAAATAGGCAGACAGATAACCTCTCTATGTAGCTGGATATAGACCTCTCTCTTTGTCTCTCTCTCTCTCTCTCTCTCTCTCTCTCTGTGGTTTCTGTTTCTCTGGTTTCTGTCTGCTAGGACCCAAGGAAGGCCTTCAACCAAAGGCCTGTCTTATAAACCCTAGCAGACTGTATACATCCTATTATCTGTTTCTCTGGAGAAGTCTGACTAGTACAGCAGGTAAGAAATACTTGCCAAGTGGAAGATGCACCATGGCTCAGTCCCACCAAAGTAACCATATTCCCTCCTTCCTTCTTCCTCCCTCCCTCCCTCTCTTCCTCCACCCTCACTCCCTTCTTCCCTCCCTCCTCCTCCCCCAAACATACTAGACAAGAAGCTTTCCAACTTTGGCAAGGGTATCCTTTCATCTCCAAACAAACTCATACAAAAAAACCTAATCCTATATATAGAAAAGGAGGGCTTCTCTGACTGAAGATGGGCAAAGGACTCTACGGGGCTCCCTCTCTCACTTCCCAGGACAGAGAGCCCCAGCTACCCCAGGGCTTAGGGAAACAGTGAAAACCAATCACCTGAATTAGTGGTCATTTTCAGATTACAGATTCCACTGGCTATTAAAACCACACAGAAATGGGCACACCAAGGCCAGCTTTTTATTTTGCCAAGAAAGGACACAAAAACAATAACAATATAAGCAATGATCACCACTGCCCTCTACTGCAAACATCATTTCCTAAAAGAAAGAGCATTTTTAACACTTAAAAAAAAAAAACCAAGGAAGACTACCTCTGAATATAGAACAGTAACTTACATTAGATTTAGCTTTTTTTTTTTTTTTTTTTTTGAGACAGAGTCTCACACTGTCGCCCTGGCTGGAGTGCAGCTGTATGATCTCGACTCACTGCAACCTCCACCTCTCAAGTTCAAGCGATTCTCCTGCCTCAGCCTCTTGAGTAGATGGGATTACTTGCCACCACACCCAGCTAATTTTTTGTATTTTGTGTGGAGACGGGGTTTCACTATGTTGGCCAGACTAGTCTCGAACTCCTGACCTCGTGATTCACCCACCTCGGCCTCCCAAAGTGCTGGGATTACAGATGTAAGCCCAGCTAGATTTAGCTTTATTAAAAACTTGCTACTCTGCTCCCTTTTTCCTACCACAGACTGCTGAAAACATCTTCTGGCCCAGCCCAAGGCAGCTGCCAAGACACCTGGGCCCCAGGTTTTTTTAAGTGATTTCTATTTTAAGACTTTCAAAAAAGATTTCATCTAATTTAATAAAAGGATACATTAGACTAGGTGTGGCAGCTCACACCTATAATCCCGGTGCTTTGGGAGGCCAAGGCAGGAGGATTGTTTGAGGCCAGGAGTTTGAGATCAAGCTGGGCAACACACTGAGACCTCGTCTTAACAAAAAAAATTAAGAAATTAGCCAGGCTTGGTGGCACACACTGTAGTCTTGGCTATTTGGGAGGCTGAGGTGGGAGAATGCCGTGAGCCCAGGAGTCTGAGGCTACAGTGAGCTATGACCTTGCCACTGCACTCCAGCCTGGGCGACAGAATGAGACCCTGTCTTTAAAAAAAATAATAATAATAAAATTTAAAAGGGATGCATTATAAGCAAGAAAGGCCAAGGGAAGGACAAGTGAATGTGCCAACCAAGAAGGCATCTGAATCAAGAGAATACCCAGGTCATGGTCACAACACCTCATTTAGCTCCCTAGCGGCCTGTTGGCCAGAACAAATGAAGATGTGTGCACCATGCAAAGAGTTCATGCTGGGAAGGAAGAGACAAAACTCCTCCATTAGCACATATGACGTCGCTCAAGTTTTAGAGCAAATAAAGCTTCGTGTGTCACCTGGCTTCTTCTTATCATGGTCCTGGACAAAAAGCAAGGGTACCCAAGTGGTACAATGTACCTGTCAAGAACCCCAGCTTTGGAATCAGGGAACTGGGACTGAATTCAGATTCTATCACTCATGGTATGACCCTGGGCGAGGTCATTACACTCTCTGAGCTTGAGCTTCCCCACTTGAGAGAATGGTTGAGAAAATTAAATGCGATAATATGTGTCTGAAACCATCATTACTGTCAGTAATAACACAAGAGTCCCCTGTCAAGGGGCTACATGACAGTGATTGATGGAGAGGCCTGGTGATGGGATTCTAGTATGTGACTTTCCAGGGTTCTGCAGGCCACAGAGGTGGGGTTGTGTTTGTCTTGTTCACAGCAGATCTCCAAGGACCAGTAAGATGATTTATTGGGGGCCCAATAAACCTTTGTTGAATGAATGAATCCATGAACAAACAAACCCAATTTAGAATACCCACTATCGTGAAAGGGTACTGTCTCTTAGTCCACCACCCCTAAATAGGAGCCACACTTTCTTGGACTTTGCTTTCATTGCCATCACCTTTAATTTGGACCTTTCCATATCAATGCAAAGTCCGCACGTCGCCGCACTTCTCAAGCCTGGGTGTGATCTGCAGAACCACGTGCAGAGCAGAGGCAACCGGTCTCGGGCAGGGTGCCTAATGCAGGCCTGTGGACGAGCGGTGGCTCCAGCTAGCACCCTCCAGGGGAGAGGCCCCCATACCTTGGAGAATGGCAGTGCATCTTCTTGGGGGTGAACCCTGGCTGGAGCCCTGAGGTTTCCAGCCTAGGGCAAGGTCCTGCCAAGGTTTTGCCAGCCCTTGGTCAAAGGCCTTCCTTGGGTTCCAGGAGCAGTGGCGGCAGTCTGGGCAAACACGGAGCACGGAGAACTGGCTACTGAGATTGCACTTTGGACCTGATGCTGGCTCTGGCTACAGCCCAGTGGCCTTGGCCATGGCATCTCATCTCTCTGGTCCCAGTGTCCTTGACTGGAAAATGAAAGGGAGGATCAGAGCAGGGGCTGATGATCAGAATCACCTGGGAAATGTTTGAAAATACCCATCTGTAGACACCACCCCAGCATGCACCGATTCAAATCTTTTTCTTTTTAAAATTCCCCAGACAATTTTGATCAGGATTCAGCTTGGGAAACCACTAAGTGACCATCTAGACCCCAACCAGCCCCAGCCCTCTGCCTGGGCAGTAGGGAATCACCTCTGGTTACCTGTGGAGGGAGGGGCTGAGTGAGGGCAGGGGGCACAGAGGGTGCCTGGGGTTTACAGCCACCCAGCCCAAGATCGCCAATCTCAATTCCAGTTCTGGGACCACAAGCAGGTTCCTTAACCTTAGGGCATGGCCATCCTTGGTTGGAATAACCCCCCAGAGAGCTGCTGGGAAATACCTGGCCCAGGCTGGCTATCAACAATGACTGTCCCCATCCCACCCCACAATATACACGAAGCCATCAAGAGGGTCTCTGCTTTATAAAACTGCTTGTGTCAGCCATTTGGAGGCTAGCATCACACCAGGACTTACAGGGACATTTGGGGGACTGACT